TTTTAATTTCTCATGTTCACTCATGGCTCTCTGGCATTCACTAATGACTTATTATACAGATTTGTTGCAGACTTTTTATCCTTGTTGAAGTCGTCACAGAAGGTGAAAGTAACGTTGTTTTTGGCACACAGCATTGCCATTTTAACCTCCGCATTTATGACCTGGTTAATGTTGTAATTGACCGGCAGACTACTGCAAGTTGTCGCGAGGCTACTGACAGTTCAGTTTGGCAGTTTCCCTGCCAAAACGGGAGACTTGACAGCTATGGCTGATTGTATCCCAGAGTAAGGTACCACATGTGGAGTGCATTGTGGGTAAAATTCTGAAAGTGAGCGAAAATTCAGGTTCTCCTGCCGCTCTGCTCTGGGAAAGGCAGCCCCCCCCTCCACCACCTCTTTGCAGTGTCATAGCCAGGGTCCTCTTTATCTAGCACGTAAACACTGGCCTGTATGTTCCTGTAGGTTGGGCTGGTCTGGTGTCTGTGTGTCTCCTCTTTTGGGTATTACCCCTGCATGTTCCCCATTCATTTCCTTCCTTTGTTTCTAGCTGACTTTTCTACCTAAACAGTCTTATTCTCTCTCTTTCTCTCTCTCTCTCTCTCTCTCTCTCTCTCACACACACACACACACACACACACACACACACACACACACACACACACACACACCAGCGGGGGTTTCCACGCTACCTCTGCACCTGTTTTCTGAAAACGCTTTGCCCCGCCTATCCCATCTCCCCTCTCCCTGCCCGACCCAAAAGTGCCGACACAGTCTGGTGAGTCCTTGTTCCCCACCTCCCGCTGCCTCGGTGTCGTCGGTGTGGCGGTGAGGTGCGGTGCGGCGTGGAGCATTCCGGCCATGGTGCTGAGGGAGAAGCTGGAGGCAGTGCTGAACGTCGGCCTGCGGCTGCCCAGCGTCATGCTTCTCGAGGTGCTGTACCGCTGGGACGTCGGCTCCTTCTTCCAGAAGGCGCAGAGGAGCAGCCTCAGCAACAGTCCACTCTTCCAGTACAGGTACCTGGCTCTGTACCTGCACTACATCGGTGAGTGTCTGCCACACTCGGGCCCGTGCACTCACCCCTCGCTCTCAGGGAATCGACAGATACCTGTTTTCCTCGAAAGATAATACTAATGGCACCCGCTTGGGGGGGTGGGTCAGGGGCACAGCATTGCCTTTACCGGATCCACGTTTTTGGAAAAGCTAATTATTGTCTAACGAGGACGTGCACAAATGAGAGTTGAATAGACCTGCTTGAGTGATTGTGTCAGACCAGTGCATAGTGTTATTAGCTGTAATTTCTTTAAGTCTGATTTCTAGATTCTTTTTTAGGGTTATTAAAGGTATGTTCTATGGTTGTTGCCCCTCAGGAGTAGTCAAGGATTTTTTTAACATCTGAAAGAATCTGTTTCCTGGACCAGTCTGTTTGACCTTAGTGGCGTCTGGTGCTGATGTGGTCTTGGCGCTCTGCATACTCTTGTCCTGTCAGCTAGGTGGCGCTAGGGAGCAATGGTACCCCCCTCTCCCCTTAATCACCCTGCATGTTCCTGATTCTTATCTGGCTTTGATGAGACCTCACATCTGTTCTCAGACATGAGGGTGTTGCTTGGCGGAGCGGACAGGCTGCGTAGCATATAGTTGGTGTCCACTGGCTGTGACTGACTCAAACTTCTGTTTCACACAAGTACTCTTCATGCTGCTTAAAGCCAGACTCCTTGCGCAGTGGCCCAGAGGGTGGTCTCTGATCAGTCCCACAGAGCTGATGTGGGATGCGGCGCAGCTGGGGACCGCATGTTCTAGTCTGCTCGGTCGCTGCCCATGTCTGTCTTCCAGGGGACCTTGGACTTTCATGCCAGTGGCATCTTGCATCCCGTTCTTCAAAACAGCCTCCCAGTGCAGGATGGTATTTCCGTAGCTCCGTACTGTAGTGCCTGTGTGGGTGCAGTGGGGAGGACATTTTTGCAGCACAGTGAAGGTGATCATCACGCCGTTCTAAATGGGCTGCTTTTGGGGGTGTGACTGCATGGGTCAGTGAAATTAGAGGTTTATCTGTAATGCATACTAGGCATGCATCCGTTCTCCAAAAAAAGCAGAATCCTGATGCATAGGCATCCATCAGTTCTCCAAAAAAGCAGAACCCTGATACATATTAGGCATGCAACAGTTCTCCAAAAAAGCAGAACCCTGTGCCCAGGTGGCGTGTGGTCACCCTGTCACTCAGATGTCCCACGGTCACCCTGTCACTCAGACGTGACCGCGGTCACCCTGTCGTGTTAGCGCCCCATAGTCGCCCTGTCATGTTGGTGTCCCGCGGTCCCCCTGTCGCGTAGGCGTCCCGCAGTCACCCTGTCGTGTTGGTGTCCCGTGGTCCCCCTGTCATTCAGGTGTCCCGTGGTCCCCCTGTCGCGTTGGTGTCCCATAGTTGCCCTGTCGTGTTGGTGTCCCGTGGTCCCCCTGTCGCGTTGGTGTCCTATAGTCGCCCTGTCGTGTTGGTGTCCCGTGGTCCCCCTGTCATTCAGGTGTCCCGTGGTCCCCCTGTCGCGTTGGTGTCCCATAGTTGCCCTGTCGTGTTAGTGTCCCGTGGTCCCCCTGTCATTCAGGTGTCCCGTGGTCCCCCTGTCGCGTTGGTGTCCCATAGTTGCCCTGTCGTGTTGGTGTCCCGTGGTCCCC